GATCGTCCCGTACGATCGTCAGATCGTCCCGTACGATCGTCAGATCGTCCCGTACGATCGTCAGATCGTCCCGTACGATCGTCAGATCGTCCCGTACGATCGTCAGATCGTCCCGTACGATCGTCAGATCGTCCCGTAGGAATCTACTTAAATCAGTTGCATACGAACCCAATGTATATAGGTACGAACTGACTTCGTACTCGATCATCGTCCCGTACGAACTATGTTCATCCGGTACGAACAGTTATTTCATGGGTTGGTTTCGACAAACTGCAGGACGTTACCAAAATTTCAAAAGACAGAGCATTTCGTCCTGGGACGAATGGGAGTTCGTCTGGACAAAAATTTTCTAGAGAACATTTCGTCCTGGGACTAATAGGAGCTCGTCTGGACGAAAATTTTCAAGAGAGCATTTCATCCTGGGACGAATAGGAAAAATATTTTTTTCAAAAAGTGTTAGGAGAAATCAAAGCTTAAAACAATAATATTTGGAATCATCAAAACTATAGAAGTTGCAAGAAGATAAAACATGCAAATAACAACTCTCTTAACACTTCCACTTTCTTCTCTTCTTTAATTTATAATATTTTTTGAAATTCTTTTGACATTAGAACTGATTTAACTTCAATCATACTAAGTTTTTTTTATTTTCATATAGCATCATGTCAACGATGTGTTTGTAGGACTTTAATTGAGAACAATGAGGAGCAATGCATTGATTATCTTCTTCAATTCTAAAATCAACGTTCTTGAGATCAAGAATGATCTTGTTGAATTCATCCAAGTGTTTCTGAGATCTTTATTCTCATCAATTTACAATTTATACAAAGATGTCTGCGAATCCAAATGATTGGCGAGTGATCTCTTCAAATAAAGCAATTCAAGCTTCTTGAAGACCTCCACCGCTGAATCTTCCTCCACCACTTCTCTTAATACTTCATCGCCAAGAAAAAGAAGTATCACATTGTGTGCTTTTGGTTGAATTTCCTTGCCTTCTCCTTGTCTGCTATAGCCGCCAGACTTTCCTACAAAATTGCATCAAAATTCACCGGTGACTAGAAGAGCTTTGATCTTTATTCTCCATAAGTTGAAATCACTCTCAAAAGTGAACATGACAATCTCAAATCTTTGTATCGACATTATATGGAACACTTACTAAAACAAACACCTAGGAAGAAGAGAGCTTCTTGAAACTACCTGTTGTCCAAAAAAAAAAAAAAAAAGACAATAAAAGCCTAGTTGCTGCTCTCCTCCACCTATTCACTCGAACCCACTACTTTGGACAATACCTTGTTGTGAAGCCACTATTTCTTGCAATGGGCAAAAACAATGTTTATTGCGGTGGTCCTAAAAATGGTGTTGTAAGTTAATCCTCGCCTCTTCAATAATTTCTGGCAAACATGATTCTGCTCCTAAGCACGCACCTGAGCCTGCCTATAGCCCTGTCTCTCGTCTGCACTATTGTCCCATCACCCTCCACCAACACCTTTGCGTGTTCTGGCCAACAACCCTAGTCCACACACTCATATTCCTTGCACACTCATGCATGCTCCAACGTGCGACTATGTGCAAGACACTACTTCGATCCTCAGCCCAGTGCCCACCCACTTCTCGCTCCTAGCTTTCGCTTATGCCTCACACAGTACCTACTCCTGTGCGGCCTGCCTCCAGCTTTTGAACATGAAAGCTGTGTTCGTCCCAGCCCATCTACCCATACTCAAGCGATCAACCGCGACTCCTGCATGACTTGAGTGCCCGTGGCTTGTGGTCTATTCTTGATCATAAAAAACTTCCTCTTTGATCACCACCGCCAAGCTCTGATACCATTTCTTGAGAAAAAAATCTTGGAGTAGAAGCCCGTACCTACGATTATGCATAGAAGCCTGTATAAAATCAAATCACTTTCACCTGCTCAGTGTGGCAAAGTATCCAAAATCCCTTTCACCTCCTAAGTGCAGCGGTGTAGCCAAATTCTCTTTCACCTCCTTAGTGTAGCAGAGGGCTGAAATCCTTTCACCTCCTCAGTGCGATGGATGGCCAAAATCCCTTTCACTTCCTTAATGCAATAAATATACAAAATCCCTTTCACCTCCTCGGTATGGAGGAAAGCCAAAATACCTTTCATCTCAGTGTGGAGGAGAGCCAAAATACCTTTCATCTTCTCGGTGTGGAGGAGAGCCAAAATCCATTTCACCTCCTTGGTGCGGCAGAGTATCTGGCAACGTTTGACACCAAAGGATTATTCACAGAGCTTCACTCAAAATAAATACTAACACATGGAAGAAGTCAAGTGCAAGTTAGTCGGAGTAACCATGTGAAAACCTCTCTCATACTCTCTTGAAACCCAAAAGGATATTCTCCTTATCACACAATCTTACCCTTTCTTTCATTTTCTCAATACTCTCTCTTCAGCACTCATGGAAGAAACACATCTTTGACTACCAAAAGACTCCTTAGAAAATATAATAATAGTTTATATAGAGAGCATAAAAACTCTAATTATTCAATTTTGCTGACTCAATTAGTAAAGTATGATTTAAGGATCGCACAATTTAATTAGTTCAATGTCATCATAGATCATCTTGTACGATTATAAATCGTACAGTGCAATTAGTTCAAATTAAACATCAGATCATACATAATGTAGCAAAGTAATCCATAGTTTCATTTGGTGGTTCGTACCGTCCAATACATTCTAGGAATGTACAACCTATAATTAATGCATACTTGATTTGATTCCTAAATCCATGCACCAAAATTAGGCAACATTAATTAAATATCGTACAATATGAATAGTTAAATTTTCAAAATTCAAATTTGCCTATTTTAAGTAAGTTGGATTTGATGGCGGGCTTTTTTAATGTAACTAATTATATGATGTAGTTCGTACAGTATGATTAGTTATAACTCAAATTTATTTCTCTCATTTAAATTAAATATTTTAATTAATATTTATTTAAATTGATCATACAGTACAATTAATAGAAAAATTAAAATATTTATTTTTCAACTCCCCTTATGTGTGTGTGTATAGTTGCTAAACTAATATATACCATATTCCAGATATTAACTCATGAAAAATAATAAA